CACATAATATTGAATCGAGTTTTAATATTTTATTAGCTAGCCAAATGCAAAGCTTCCACCAAGAAAAACTGTTCCTATCAAGAGTATAGCGCTGACTTCAGTTACCCGGATGAGCCTGTGTTATCAGCTTTTACCGGTTGTTATCGAGGGATAACAGACCTCAGAATGTCGCGACTGACCAATCAGAATCAAGTATTCCACAGAGTCGTGTAATAAAAACAAATAAAACACTTTAACATTTTAAACATCATTTACAGTTGTTACTATTTACAACTGCTTCCTTTTCCGTTCACCCTGTTGCATTTTGGAAGGAATAGAAAATAGTTGTGAAAAAGAAGTGCACTTTAGCATACATTTGAAAAGAGTACTTATTATGGAAATAATATACTTTGAAAGAATATACAGTACATGCAAAACTAAAAGTACTTAAGTACATTTTTACGTAATTTCATAATTACTTCTATTATCTTTGAAATATGGTTAAAGTATACAGCCAAATATACAATAAAAATATACTTTCATGTCTTTTCTATTGAAATTGTATGTCATGTATTTAAATATATTTGCCGATATATCGGCCGATACAGATAAGCGATTATTCGGAATGATATCTGCCGATACCGATAATTTGGTTTTCTTAAGGGGAAAAAATCTGTAAAAATGCTGTAAACTATACAGGGAACCCTCTCATTTGGAACATTAGAGGCTAAAATGAACAACAACACTATTATATTCAATGCTACTTATTTTCAGATATAACAATCACACTCAAATAAAAAAAAACATCTGTATACAACTCAACAGCACATAAGGTAGTTTTGATCAAAACTTGTCTTCATGACAGATTTATTCAAAAATACATATGTAATAGAGAGAAATTTTCACTTCCAAAGCAGCATTTTTTCAGATACTTACAAATTCGTAGTTTTGCTCGTTCAAATTTTCCTCTCCTGCCTAATGATACTCCTTTGAATAGTTTTTTCATTCCGATTCGTACTTTAAAAGGCCTAATCTCGCAAATCTACTTTCAAATCCATAGCCTATGTCCTGAGTCTTTAGACTCCATTAGGGCTCTTTGGCAAGATGATGTGGAAGAGGAGATATTAGATGAACTATGGGAAAAGATCCTCAACAGGGTACACGGATCATCTAAATGTGCCAGACATTCACTTATTCAGTGTAAAGTTGTGCATTGTGTCTATTTTACAAAAGCTAGATTGGCTAGGATTCATGAAGGTGTTTCTCCAGCATGTGACTAATTTTGTCAAATTCCGGCAAACCTGATCCATATGTCGTCCTGATAGTTGATGGGAAAGGAGTAAGGCTTGATTTCTGAAGGTTGTTTTACAAATCTCATAAACAGCTTGAATAACGGATTAATATTTATTTATATATGTATATTTAATTATTATTATTATTAGTTCTTATTATTCTGACTGTGCATTGTTTTTTTGTAGTTGCTTTGTACCTTATTTTATTAGTATTGACACATTGTGTTTATCATTGCTTTCTGTTTCTGTGTACACTCTTTTCTGTGTAGAAAATTAATTAAATAAAAAAAATACATAGAGACATTTGGCTCTGTGAATGGGTACCGTTACAGTACGTTTGTGTTGGCTCTTGAAATGCCCACGAACACACCGACATCCTCCTTCCACTGCCATCTCATCACATCATCAGCACCCAGGGAGCAGCCGCAGGGGCCCCATCTCCACCGCTGTCAACTACACGCCACCCAGGGGCCGCTCGTTTCCCCAGCCTCTGCCTTCCAGCGTGACAAGACGAAATCTCAATTAAAGCCATTAAAAGAGAATCAGATGCACATACAGCAAACCTGCACATGTACACTTACAGTATGAGGACCTCCAATTTCTTCTTCTGAAATCTTATTTTCCACGTAACAGATGCCTTCTGCCGTTTTACATTGCAGTTGATTCATTATTTAGCCCATTTACAAACCATTTTTATTGATGTGAATGTTTTATTGTATCTGGTGGTGTTTTATAAATTTGAGGCATAATTTAAACCTGAAGTACACACACAATCAAATGCACACAGCCGTTCAAAAGTTTGGGGTCGGTAAGATGAATGTTGAATGATTTTAAAAGAAGTCTCTTCTGTAATGTTATTACAATTTAAAACAGCTGTTGTCTATGTGAATATGTTGTAAAATGTATTTTATTTCTGTGATTTTCAGCAGTCTTCAGTGTCACATGATCTTCAGAAATCATTCTAATATGCTGATTTGCTGCTCGAGAAACATTTCTGATTATCATCAATGTTGAAAACAGTTGCGCTGCTCCATATTTTTATGGAGACTGTGATACATTTTATTTTTTCAGGATTCTTTGATGAATAGAAAGTTCAAAAGAACAGCATCCATTTGAAACAGATATTATAAATATAATATTATAAACATACTTGCTGAATTAAAAATTAATCTTACTGACCCCAAACTTTTGAACATGATGCTGGAACCATTTGATTTCCAGAGAATGCACGAGAATTCATTTGTAAATGTCACGTTGTACAGCATATACAGCAACTTTATTTTCCACATCTGTCTAAAAACATTATTAACAAATATCATGTGTACATTATTAGTATTGCATATATGTACTGGCACATATATTTGTGGGCAGATTATTAGTAATAGTAGTCATTTATGTCTATTATTATTCGGTTGTTGTTTGATTCTGAAGTGTGTGGAAGCACAGGCCGGTTTTGAGAGAGCTTGCAGCAGCAGCCAAACACTGACTCGCACAGGAATCAGCATTAATCTGGTGAAAAGTTGTATGAAAGTGTCACAGTGTAGCACTGTAGAGTGTGTCTGTGAAGTGAACATTCACAGGACACACCAGAGAATATTTGATATTTGTGAGACGAAGGAGTAGAGCAGAGTGTGTTTGTAAATGATGCTGAGCGTCTGCTGGAGTGTGGCTGTGCGAGTCTAAAGCAGGGCGAGCTGTTTTGTTCAGATGAGCTTTTGTAAATGAGTTACTGCTGATTGTTTTATGTGCACGTCCACCTCCTCCAGATCACCTGACAAACTCAAGCCGCTCCACTCTTACTTTCACTTTTCCTCTCTCTCTCTCTCTCTCTCTCTCTCTCTCTCTCTCTCTCTCAGCAGTTCTTGCTGCTTCTGTCTAATGGCTCCATCATGTGATGTTTTCTTGAACAGCAGGCTGTTTAAAGCACTGCCATTCATGTGCAAACACAAATCAATGCTCATAACAGACCAGGCTGGAAGCATTAGCTGGTATCATTTGCAAAAGCTCTTTTTTTATAATGTAATTAGGCCTAAAGGTTGTCTCATAGGACTCACATTTGGAAACACACTGTAAAAATAATAAATAGTGAGGTTTATGCAGGGAAGCTCATTGTGCTCCTTCACAAACAGTGCAGATCCAGAGCAAATCAAGCTCGCTTCGTCATGTGTTAGAGCAGGAAGCTCATTCCTCATGCTATCATATGCAGTTTTGTTACACTGTGGATTTTTTGAATGTGTTGTTTGGATATTTTTCATGGGAAATGTAGTTCAAACCTGTTTGTATAAGAGAGAGAAGTGGACATGTGTTCTAATCGTTTGAGAGGAGAGTCTGAGTAGCTGAAGGGATTGGGATTGGTTTGAGGGGAAAGGCTACATTAATTTTAGCTTGTAACTTGTACTCTGTTCAAATGAGCATGCTTCTGTGTCCTAAATTCAGTGGCACTTTTCCCCCTAAAGATCCTGCCCTTGCTGGGGTGTTGTTTTTTTCCCCCCTCTTGATCTTAGATCCCATGTCTCCGGGTTTTTTTTTTTTTTTTTTTAGTTCTAGTGAGAAAACTGAATGCTGTGGCATTTTGAAGGTCTCTTTTTCTCTCACACACACAAATACACACAGTTGCACTGGTAGCATAGAGGAAACTTCTGTAACCTGTAATAACATAAAGACTTGTATGTTGTAGGGGAATTGGTTTTTATTTGATGTATTTTTCTTCTCATGAATGGACTTCAGATCCCAGTAAAGCTGGCCCAGCAGCATTAGGCTGATTCATCCTCATCCATACGTCATTCATTCTGTGCAGTAGTACTTAGAAGGTGCACCAAGTCATTTTCCATTCATTTTCCTAAACAAGAAATACAACAGGGCATGTTAAACTGGCAGCTGTTACAGTGGATACAGTGTGACACAAAGGCGAAAGCTTCTGGCTGGTCCTGCTTTTGTAGAAATATCATATTGGTCTCCCATGATTACTTTATTCTACAAGCAGAATGTCCGATACTAGGTGGTCTAACTGAGATAACGTGAGCAGTATTTAAGTCTTCATCTCATGTGAATGGACATAATGTCAAATAATGATATTTTTTTTGTTTTACTAACCAGACTTTATTTAGGTGGAGTGTACTGCACCGTTAAACACATTTAAACACAGATGTGGGACCTTTTAGTTTGTGGCGCCTTCATTTTTGTGGGTTTTGCCATCCTGTTAAAATGAATTAATATGTGCTTATACTGAACCTCGACACACAGCAATAAATATAAACGGCTCATTTCTAACTGAGCAATGCATTATCAATGTTTTCCGGTCAAACTGAAGATACTGCATCTTTAAAACAGTGGTCATTGATGCTGCTTATTTTGCAGGAACTCAGCAGCTTACCGATTTGATTTGCAGCATTTTTTTTTTGTGCCTTTTTTGTTTTGTGCTCCACATATGTTATTCTTTTTTCTTTTCTTTAAAAATGGCTTTTTTAATATTTTTATCTGTGCTACAAGATTTATTGCAGTGATTTATGAAGTCAGAGCGCCTCAAATGCATGATGAAATTGAACAGCCAGAGATTTTGCGTGCTCTGATTGCGTTTTGTTTCTTTTCCTCCTTCTAACAGACGACTGTCAGTTAAATAGGGTTTCTAATTGCACGCAAATGTACAAGACATGCATGTTTCGATGAATGCCACCATTGAGGGCGACAGAGATCAGGCTAAAAGCTTCCATCAGAACTGCTGTTGACTAGGTATCTGTTGCTTATGCTGGTACGGTTGATTCCCACATTGCTCTCACCAATATCTCTTCATCTGTTTGTGCTGTTTCTCATTCGCTCGCCAGGAGGAGCTACTATTCGTACTCATATTACCTGTAAGTAACAGAGACGTTCAGACCAAAGCAAAAGCAAAACGGTGACTTACATGCAGGGCTCTCTGCTCTCTGTCAATGGTTAGTCCTGTTAGTCTTTTAAAGATGCAGTATCCTTTTTTCAAGCGAAAACACAAATCGCTTTGACCAATCACGTTCCTTTGCATTGCAGTAGTTCATGGACATGCTCGGCGGCGGTACTTCCAAGCGGTGTTATTTGAAAAAAGAATGCTGCACTTGTGTCTGTTAATCGTCTGTTGTTGTTTTTTGGGGGGGTGTTGGTTTGGTTTATTTTGTGTGTGTGTGTGTGTGTGTGTGTGTGTGTGTGTGGAATAGTTACTCACCGTGTCTCCATCCACCTCTCATCCTCACATACTCATCTGTTCATTCATTTGGTGAAGCGGGTGTTTCTCACTTGTTCTCGGTTGGCCTTTAGTCTGCAGCTCAATCTAGCAGGTGATTCGAGCGCTGCTTTGATGGCTTTCCAAAAATTCCTGTGACATCTCTACAAAACCTCAGTCAGATATCAACAGATTCCTGCTTTTATCTATTCTTGTCGAAAGAGCATCGAAATCTTGTAACAAATAGAAAATGCATAAATCATTTGCATTACAAATCATCTTTCACAGCTCCACATTGCATTTCATCACATGACATGTCACTTTAAAAAAAATAATAAAACCATGAAAATGAAACCATGAATGCATTTTTATTTTTCAGTTCAGATAATTCCAAAATTTTGCGATTGGTTCTCTATCTGCTTTCTTAAATACACAAACAACGTAGAAAAAAAAAACTGACACTGGAAAATCTCTAACTGCAAAAAAAAAAAGTTGATCAGTATTTACTCTTTTTTCACAAATGTCTAATCATCCTTAAAACAAGACCGATTTGCTTTAAGCAAGAAGCAAAAGTGCATAAGATAATAGACAAATTCAGAGCTCACTTCTCATAATTTGTTCATTTTGATGTTCTTGATGCCATTTTGTACATGTAAATTGTGAATGAAGCCCTTAAACCGTTCCTTTAGGTCATTCATGTTGGAATGTACGTTTTACAGAACAAGTCAAATATTTCTGCGATATTTTCTCTAGCTAGAAAGAACAGACAGCCTTAATCTGCTTCAAAATAATTGAAAATGATTTGACACATTAATCTTAGGTTAATAGCACTGTAACGAGTGTATATCACATTTTATCATGCAGCTCATGTTGCAGCTCTTTGTTCGTGAAAACAAGAAAAAATGGCTGATTAAGAACATTATTTTCTGCCGTTTTAATGTTGTTATGTCACATACAATACAACACAACATACAAAAGCTCTGTTTACTAATTTGTCTATGCAAAAAAAAAAAAAAATCATTTTATAAAATGTTGAATTTCTAGCATAATTATCTGCACACAAAAATTAAAAATGCCCAAATTAATTTTGTAACAGTAAAGTAACTCTTCTCTTAGTAAACCATGTTCAAATAAAGAAGAGAGACTTTAATTGCAGTTTGAGCAGCCATGGTTTTATTTCTCTGAATCACATCCACTAATTTGCAAGTATTTCCTAAAAGTTTCCTCAAAGTTGTCCTTTACCATGGAACTTAAGCTTTCCTATCGGATCATCCCTTCTTCTCTCTCCTGTCTGTTGTTTATTCCTACATGTGGGTGCTTTGGGTGGGCTGAAGGGTGCAGTGATGCTGTTTTCTGGAGTAGTAGATCTGTAATGATTCTGTCTTTTATTGGGTTATCAGGAAGCTTGCCAAGAAGCGCAAGGATGCCATCGGAAACACCCGTCAGGAGATGACGCACATGGTCAACTCCATGGATCGCAGTTATGCAGACCAGAGCACTCTGCACGCCGAGGAGCCCATGTCCGTCACCTTCATGGACTCGCACAGCTTCAGCAACCGCTGTGAGTATAAGTCCTCCAGAACGCCTCAACAGCTCGTGTTAAAGGAACACTCCACTATTTTTGAAACTAGGCTCATTTTTCAGCTCCCCTAGAGTTAAACAGTTGAGTTTTACCGTTTTCGAATCCATTCAGTCGATCTCCGGGTCTGGCGGTAGCACTTTTAGCTGCAGCTTAGCATAGATCATTGAATCTGATTAGACCGTTAGCATCTCGCTCAAAAATGACCAAAGAGTTTCTATATTTTTCCTATTTAAAACTTGACTCTTCTGTAGTTACATCGTGTACTAAGACCGACAGAAAATGAAAAGTTGGGATTTTCTAGGCTGATATGGCTAGGAACTATACTCTCATTCCGGCGTGATAATCAAGGAGCTTTGCTGCCGTGCCATGAGTGCAGCAGGTGCAATGATATTACACAGCGCCTGAAAATAGTCCCCAGCACGCTCCCTGTGCAAGCAGGTGGTCACGTTGGTTATGTTGACGGAAGTTAGCCTATTTTCAGGCGCTGCACAATATAATCAAGAGATGCTAACGGTCTAATCAGATTCAATGATCTATGCTAAGCTACAGCTAAAAGTGCTACCGCCAGACCCGGAGATCGGCTGAATGGATTCGAAAACGGTAAAACTCAACTGTTTAACTCTAGGGGAGCTGGAAAATGAGCCTATTTTCAAAAATAGTGGAGTGTTCCTTTAAGTAAAGTATACTTCGGGCTTGACTTTTGACAACATGGAACATTGTAGAATCATATCGAGCCTGTCTGAGGATTTTGAAACTTCCACTTGATTTGTGTAGGAGAACATTGTAAAAAAACAAAACACACACGAAGCCGAAAGCAGCCCACATGAAGAGAGTGGTGGGTGTTTGTCGGCACTAGTGTGTAATGATAAGATTTTCTTTTTGCTCTATCACACCAGTAGTTTAGATTGCCCAGCCCGGCAATTATAGTGTGCCTCTGCGATTCACATCCAAGCATCCAGGTTAGTTATTAATAATGACCTAATATTGCGTGATCGTGCAAAACACACCCATGTTAAATGGTGCAAGAGCAGACGCAGCAGTAAGACTCCTGTACTGATTTCAGTTTCAGAACATCCTCAGCTCTTGAGTTTTTGTGTAGTTTTTATTTATTTATGATAACTCTGCATGTTTCTCTGCAGTGCCTAATGACCCTCTCGTGCCGACGGCTGTATTAGGTGAGGATTCAGTGTATGCTGTGTCTGTGACTAGATCACTGGAGTCTCGACAGAGCAATTCAGTTCAGCCTCTGTTATGGCTCAAAGACAACATGAAATACAATTTACTTGCTTTTTGTATGTCGACAGGTCTAACTGTCTTACTTTAAATTACATTACATTCAATCAGTGCATGTTAAAAAAAAGATTCTGTAATATTTCGTCAAGATGTGTTCATTTTCTTCACCTCCCCATAACAAAGGAGTTGTGAGCAAGGAAATAATATTAACCAACATTATCATAGACCAATCTAATCAAGTCACAGTGATTAAAATCAAGCCCTGCACTACATAAAGTTATGCTATAGAAGCAATTTCATGTTGTCTTTACTTTGTCCATATTTCTAGCCAAACTCTTCTCCCCAATTAGTTAAATAACTTGAGGTAATGTTTGATTCAAGTTGAGTTTTTCTTCAGAAGAGAACTGAATTGAGCTGAGTACTCCTGCTGCACATAAAGACCTTCATTACCCAGCATGCATCACTCATGCAGCCCCCCCCCCCACCATGTTCCTGTTGTGTTACATAGAACAGGGTTTCTCAATCATCTCCACGGCTCCTCCTGTATTGCACAGTGAACTGAAGCGCCCGGTTCAGTTGATGCACTATTAACAAGTTCTGTCAGACACATCCAAAGCATGCAGCGCAGGGAGCTTGTAGGAATGGATCGAGAGCTGCTGTGCTTGAAGATTCAGATCCCAGAATGTTACAAATGGGGTTACAAATATGTGTTGCAGTGAAAGCACAGTCATTGCTCACCTAAAGTTAGACGACTGCGCTTCTGCTACTGTGGACACACACATTTGCTGAATGAGGACATACTGTAGTTTTTTATTTATTGTTAAGCTAATTATAATTACTACAGATGAACCCAAACACTACCCTTAAAATAAAACTATATACGTCCCCAAGGAGAGGTTGTGTCAGATTTAGCGCACTTGGGGAGTTTTAGGAATTTTGGTCTTCTAAAGAAAACACACTCAAACTCTATATTCCAAAGTTTCTTTTCTGGTGGGTTGTGAGTCTAAAAAAGAGTTGCAAAAAGTGCACTTTGTAATTGTCAAATTATTTTTAATATTTAAAAAAAAATGTTTTATTGTTTTTTAATATTAACTTATTTTTTTAAGGTTTTGCTTTAAAGTACATTTTAAATCATGTTTTAATCTTTTGTATCTTTTGTTGTGCTTTAAAGAAGTACGCTTTTGATGTGTTGACTAACAAACTAAAGCACATTTAAAGACGTTGATTCGAATTCTAGTGTTATTTGATGTTACATTTAAAGTTCATATATTTTAAAAAATCATTTTAAAATTTTAACTTTATATCGTTACAAATGTGTAATTACAAATACAAATGACATGCACATTTCAATAAAATGACATTAGAGTGTATTTCAGTTTATCATAAATCTTTTTCAATACATTCAGCAGTAACATTTTAACCATATTTCAAAGACAACAGAAGTTATTATGAAATTAAATGTAAAGATGTACTGAAGTTCTACTTAAATGGGTCAAAAACACTCAAATAATTGCATTTAATATAAATTTAAACCGTAACATTTTCATTTAATTTAAATTCAAATGCAATTAAGTATCTGAAAACATTACAGTACTTTCAGTTTGCACGTATATTCAAGTATATTATTTCCGTAATAAGTACAGTAGTCTTTTTAAAAGTATGCTAAAGTGTACTTCTTTTTCACAAGGGATATTAATAATTTATCATTAAAAGATTCACGATAATTAAACATTTTAAGGACTACCGGATGCTCAATATAGATCTGGAAGCAGAGTCAACTGATAAGCACTAATCTGTGTGTTTTAACAAACCACACACACACACACACACACTGTCACAGCATTATGAGTGTTCCCGGAGCTCGTGGGATGATGCCGAAACTAACCTGACAGCTTACACGTAAACCTGATAAAACTCCAGTCATCTGGGTTAATGGTTTCAGATGCTAACATGACAGAACAAGCAGGAAAGGCGTTTTCTACAGTGGTGTGATGATGATGATGATGAAGATGGGGGGGTATTAAAACGTCCCCTTAGGCCACGGCTCTGGCAGAGACAGCGCTGAAGTGCAGAGGACAACACTTCATTCAAACAGCTGCGTCTCTCTGACATCTGCGATGAAGAGAAGTTACAGTCCCTTATAAGACGTGACCGAATAACGTCTGATTATCAAAATCTTCAGAAACCTTTACAAGTGGTTCTGTCAAGATGTGGGCCATGCAACGCTGTGTAGAAGCAACACTAAAATGTGCACTCGCCTTTGTTCTCGAGAATCGACGGGGGTTGCTTATAAATCATTTCCTGTGGTTGCGATTCCTGTGCATTTGATAATATTCAGAGGTGTCTTTTGTGGTCCAATATATATATATATATATATATGGATGTAGCTTCTGCATCTCCACAAAAACTACAACTAAAGTGAAATCTGAAGTGCCTTAGAAAATGCAGCAGTCTGGATGGGATGTAGAGAGTGGCTTTGTTTGTGCTCCCCCTCGTCTTAGTGTCCTGTAGCTGTGTTCTGTATACATGTTTAGTCCATATCACCCCATCAGCTGTACTGCAGAGCCCGTGTGTTTGAGCTGACACTGAACTAAACAACTCTTTTCTCTCCCGCTGCCCCATAAGTGCCTATCACTGGTAAGTGTGTGTGAAGAAACGCCTCTGTCCTGTTCAGAGTGCACAACTCTGAGATTATATATGCATTTGTGAGGTTTTGCGTGTGTGTGTCGAGTCCTTTGAGCTTAGCATGTACAAAGGTTTGTCCGAATCCCTCAGTGTGCATTTCAATTCATCTTTCCCGATCCCTATCTCAGACGAGAACCACACAGCAGCGGCCGAGAACAGCAGACTGCTGGACATCCCGCGCTATCACTGCGAGGGCACCGAGTCGCCCTATCAGACCGGACAGCTCCATCCAGCCATACGGGTGGCCGACCTGCTGCAGCACATCAATCTGATGAAGACCTCCGACAGTTACGGCTTCAAGGAGGAGTATGAGGTTAGACTGATGACTGTGAGAATGTGTCCTGTGTGGACAAACCCGTAAGTGATCTTAAAGCTAAAGTGTGTCATTTCTGCACAGCTAGAATCACCAAAAATAACTGGAAACAATAAAGATTGTTTTCACACAGATTTCCTGAACCTTTCTTCCATTGTTCAGAAGGACTATGGAAATATTTTAAATGGATAGTTCACCCAAAAATTTAAGAATCTGCAGAAAATGTACTCCCCCTCAGGCCATTCAATATTAGGATGAGTTTGTTTCTTCATCAGGTTTGGAGAAATGTAGCATTGCATCAGTGTCTCAGCAATGGATGCTCTGCAGTGAATGGGTGCCGTCAGAATGAGAGTCCAAATAGCTGATAAAAACATCACAATAATCCACCAGTAATCCACACCACTCAGTTAACATCTTGTGAAGCAAAATGCTGCATGTTTGTAAGAAGCAAATCCATTATTAAGATGTTTTAACTATTGGTTCCGGCTAAAATATGCGTTCGTAATCCATAATATTGCTTCCTCCAGTGAAAAAGTCAACTCGTCTGAATCAGGAGAAATATGCACAGATCAAGCAACAGATTTATGAATTTGTTTAGCAACTTTTGGCTTCACAAGACATTGACTGATGGACTGGAGTGGTGTGGATTACTTGTGGATTATTGTGATGTTTTTATCAGCTGTTTGGACTCTCATTCTGACGGCACCCATTCACTGCAGAGCATCCATTGCTGAGACACTGATGCAATGCTACATTTCTCCAAATCTGATGAAGAACCAAACTCATCTACATCTCTGACGGCCTGAGGGGGGGGGGGGGGGGGGGGGGGAGTACATTTTTAGAAAATTTTTGGGTGAACTATTTCTTTAACATCCAAAAAATGCCACTCTTCTCCAAGAAGCCATTGAAGCCCCTCCTCCACAGCGTTATTTCCACACATATTTTGCAGTGATGAGTTTACTGGTTGCAGGCAGAGTGTTGGCGGCGGTTTATTTCATGAAACCACAATCTGATCAGTTGAGTTTGTGTGCCAGATGCAGAACAGTTTGTTTTGTTTGGCTGCCGAGAGCGCCAGATGCTTCTGTAACTGTTCAGTGATCAAATTTGCATGGATTTCCATGCACATAGAGCAAATTCAAACTAGTGTGTTGTGCTGATGTTGTCAAACATGATGAAAATATGAGTAAATTAGGAAATTGATTTACTTAATCCATATTGCTGACATAACATACAGTATATGTTGTAATTCATATACTGTGTTTCTCTCTAGAGCTTCTTTGAGGGTCAGTCTGCCACCTGGGACGCAGCAAAGAAAGAGCAAAATAGAACGAAGAACCGATACGGGAACATCATTGCATGTAAGAGTGTAGGATATTCTCTAGCACACTTATCATCTAGCTCCATACACTCTCCTTCAGATGGTTTTTCAGTCATTAAAGAAACTTTTGAGAGCATTTGTTCTGTTACTCTTTAGAAAACCAACATGTACTTGTGCTTTAAGAATGAGCATCAAGAACGCGTCATATTTCACCCCAACATCTTCAGATTAAGACATTATATTGTGCACCAAAAAATAAGTTTTCATTTTCATTTGTAGTACAGATATTTACAATTTAACACATTTCCCCCAAATTCTCAGTATTTTACATTAATTTGCCAGATGCTTTTATCCAAAGCGATTTACATTGCAATAAATGTATGCATCAGTCAATGTATTCCCTGGCAATCAAACCTATGACCTTGGTGTTGTTAGCGTCATGTTCTCTAGTTTTGGTAGCGCATTTAATTCTCTCTTAATATCTCTGTACAATTACAAATAAACTAATTCTCAATAGGTAAACATCTCGATGCATTACGGTAATAAGAATTTATGAAAAAAAAAATGTGCTCAATCGTCACGAAAATAATATCACTCTACAAACAATCTTAAAAAGCAATCGATCTTTCGATTTTTGTATTTCTTCCAAATGATTTTGAGGTGAAATCTGACTAGGACACGTTTCCATGCATTGTAAGAGTATCATAGCTCACTATCAATCAAGCACACAGTCAGCAGCATGCCAACAAAGTGCTGTTGTTGTCCTGAATCTGCTCTGTTTGCCGTGTGTCGCGCTGTAGACGATCATTCTCGAGTGATCCTGCAGCCAATGGAAGACGACCCGTCCTCCGACTACATAAATGCCAACTACATTGATGTAAGTGGCGATGCCGCCTCCTCCTCCATTGGCGAACGTGTGAGAAACGTCTCTCCCTCCCTCGTATGTGAGGGCTTTTATGCATGCCTTTGTCTCAACTATACACAATATACAGCTTTCTTTTCTTCCTTGTTGGAGGTGCTTGCTGACTCACTGACATTGTTGTGCTCTCTCTCACTCTTATGCGGTTGATTTTGGGGCGGTAGATTTGGCTGTACAGGGATGTAAGTATCACTGTAGGCACATTCGAACACACTTCCCCTCTCTGTCTCACCCGCTTGCGCCGTCACACATCCAGCTCCATTCTGTGGCTCTTCCTCACGCTGCCACTCATCTGCTTTGCCTGTGGCATGGATGTCATGCATGTTAACATCCCTGGCCTGTGTTTAAGTTGACTCTCATGATTTTGGTGTCGTGTGTTTTAGTTTTCGTGGGAGGGGGGATTTGAAGTCGGGTCTCCCTGCAGTGTGTGTTTGATTCATAGAAATTGTGGTGTGTGTGCGTGTGTGTGTGCTGAGATTACAATTCTTAAAACAAAACGTAATTTTGCCCAATTTTGCATAGGCCACTGTAAAATAAATTACTCTCAGATTTGAATTGTTTGCTGCCTCCAACAAAATCCTTTTTTGTTGTTGTTTCTCTTGCAGGGATACCAAAGGCCCAGCCATTACATCGCAACTCAAGGTAAATGAGGAATGTTGAATTAATCGTGCCAAGAACAAAAACTGACAGATGTTTAAATAAAATGAACTGCACAGTGAATTAAATATAATGTACTATAACAAACTCATTAAGCGTATTGTCATAATATGCAGAAACTGCATTCTTTTTGGTCTGATACATATCTTAAAAAGTGTGCATGCTCATAAATTCTAAATTATTCACTGAAACATGCACTGAATATCCTTCTAATAAGCGACCAGAAACATTTGTGGAACAACAAATGCACAAACATGAAAAAGTTTTAAGTCGAAAATATTATTTACTATTGCTGTATCGACCTAAGTATATTCATTTATACCACCAAAAGTACTTTATATGGGTTCAATTATTTAGAAATAATTAAGCGTATTGTCATAATATGCAGAAACTGCATTCTTTTTGGTCTGATACATATCTTAAAAAGTGTGCATGCTCATAAATTCTAAATTATTCACTGAAACATGCACTGAATATCCTTCTAATAAGCGACCAGAAACATTTGTGGAACAACAAATGGACAAACATCTACTGTACATGAAATAGTTTTAAGTCAAAAATATTATTTACTATTGCTGTATCGACCTAAGTATATTCATTTATACCACCAAAAGTACTTTATATGGGTTCAATTATTTAGAAATATCGGTCACACTTTATTTTAAGGTCCAGTTCTTGCTATTAACAAACCATTTACTCTGACTTTTGCCTCAATAAATTCCAAAATACTGCTTAATAAGGTAGTTGTTGAGTTTAGGTATTGGGTAGGATTAGGGATGTGTAATATGGTCATGCAGAATATGTGCTTTATAAGCACTAATAAACTACCAATATGTTAATATTAGGCATGCTAATAAGCAGCTAGTTAAAGGGTTAGTTCACTCAAAAATGAAAATTAGCCCATAAATGACTTACCCTCAAGGCATCTTAGGTGTACATGACTTTCTTCTTTCAGACGAATCCAGTCGGAGGTATATAAAAAATTGTCTTTGATATTTCAAGCTGTGTAATGCCATTCAGTGGGTATTGTGGTGCATCAGTCCAAAAGAAGTTAAATAAAAAGCGTCCATCCATAAAAAAAGTGTCTCGCACGGCTCCGGGGGGTGAACAAAGGCCTTCTGTAGCGAATCCATGTGTTTTTGTAAGAAAAATATCCATATTCAAAACGTAATAATCACTTTACATGCAGAATATGTGCTTTATAAGCACTAATAAACTACCAATATGTTAATATTAGGCATGCTAATAAGCAGCTAGTTAAAGGGTTAGTTCACTCAAAAATGAAAATTAGCCCATAAATGACTTACCCTCAAGGCATCTTAGGTGTACATGACTTTCTTCTTTCAGACGAATCCAGTCGGAGGTATATAAAAAATTGTCTTTGATATTTCAAGCTGTGTAATGCCATTCAGTGGGTATTGTGGTGCATCAGTCCAAAAGAAGTTAAATAAAAAGCGTCCATCCATAAAAAAAGTGTCTCGCACGGCTCCGGGGGGTGAACAAAGGCCTTCTGTAGCGAATCCATGTGTTTTTGTAAGAAAAATATCCATATTCAAAACGTAATAATCACTTTAATGTAGCTTGCGCCAGCAGTCCTACACGGAAGCAGTTCTGGGCTGATGATGTAAGATGTCGGCGTTGCGCATGCGCCGGTGAGTCTCGTGAAAACCAACGTTTGTTAACAGGAGCAAAGGAAGCAAAGTTTCCTTACTTTAGCAAAGGAAAAGCAGTCTCCTCTTGGCTTATATCCAAATCCTCCAACATTCTTCTTTACAAATCCTCGTTTTGTACTCCTAATTCGTGACCGTTGTTTTGTTTTGATCTCTCCGCTGCGCCTCCGCGTTCGTCACTTCTGAGCGGCGCATGCGCAACGCCGACCTCGTATGTCATCCGCCCGGAGCTGCTTCAATTTACAACAGTGAGCGCAAGCTAGATTAAAGTGATTATTATATTTTGAATATGGATATTTTTTTTACAAAAACACATCGAAATCCTCCAACATTCTTCTTTACAAATCCTCGTTTTGTACTCCTAATTCGTGACCGTTGTTTTGTTTTGATCTCTCCGCTGCGCCTCCGCGTTCGTCACTTCTGAGCGGCGCATGCGCAACGCCGACCTCGTATGTCATCCGCCCGGAGCTGCTTCAATTTACAACAGTGAGCGCAAGCTAGATTAAAGTGATTATTATATTTTGAATATGGATATTTTTTTTACAAAAACACATCTATTCGCTACAGGAGGCCTTTGTTCACCCCCTGGAGCCGTGTGAGACACTTTTTATTATGGATGTGCGCTTTTTATTTAACTTCTTTCGGACTGATGCATGCAACACCCGCTGAGCTGCATTAAACAACTTGAAAGATCAAAGACAATTTTTAATATAACTCCGACTGGATTCGTCTGAAAGAAGAAAGTCATATACACCTAGGATGACTTGAGGGTGAGTAATTTATGGCCTAATCTTCATTTTTGGGTGAACTAACTCTTTAATGGTGAGAATCGGTCCCTATACTAAAGTGTTACCGAAATATCTCTTTAAAGTAACAACTGCAGGTTACCACTTTTTACAGTGAACGATCCACAGTGATTATTAGTTATATACCACTAATACATTCTACATTATTTATCACAAAATCTGTCAAATAATGCCTTTTTTTCTCCCACGTGTTCAAATGTTTATGACTGAAATATTGATGGATATTGAACAAAAACATATATTTAGAGAAATAAAGCAGAACTTTTGGCTTTCCCACAGGCCCTGTCCACGAGACGGTGTACGACTTCTGGAGGATGATCTGGCAAGAGCAGTCGGCTTGTATCGTGATGGTAACCAACCTAGTGGAGGTGGGCCGGGTATGTCACTATACTGCCTGCTGAGGGGCCGTTGTGTGTTCTTGTGCTCTGTGATGTGACCTGAAGGCCCCTGCCTGTAAAAACCTTTTGAAGAGTGAGCGAGGACTAGTTATTCATCTGCTCAAAGTGACAAAAATGGGTGAACCTCACAAAGCTTGTCGGGAGCAGGTCATATTTCACCCCAAAATCAAAAGAAAGAAATAATAATAAAAAACTTTTTTGACACTTCTCAAAGGGTTGAAGCATGTCTGTGTATGTGTTTTGTACATTTGTGCACGTTGTGGACGCTTTGTTTAATTCTATCACTATGCATTAGTGCGTGCATTTGAAATGATTTCACAGCAGTCTTTATATCATAATACTCTTGGAGCAAGTGTTAAGACTGAATACAGTATCACTCACATCTTAAGGCATTCAAGCAAGATTTCAGCTTGAAGATTTAAGCCAGAATTAAATCAGACTGCTGTGAATCAAGATGCATCTGTGTTGCTTTTTCATCAGTCAGCATAGGTACTGCATTCATAAAAATGTGTTTAATGAACATGCAACATGTTGCATTAGAGTGCATGTGATTTGCTCTGGATTTTACATTTGATTGGTCTCATCCTCTTGTAGGTGAAATGTTATAAGTACTGGCCAGATGATGCTGAAGTTTATGGAGATTTTAAAGTGACATTTGTGGAGGTCGAGCCGCTCGCAGAATACGTTGTCAGGACTTTCACTCTGGAGAGGGTGAGATTATTTGATCATGTTTAAAGTTTATTTTCTAACATTCTGTAGGAAATGTGTTTAATTTTCTCATGTACTCCATATACAGTGGCCACACAAAATATTTGGAGTCTTGAACATTTGATGAAGAATCTGTATCTGCATCTTTTCACTAACGTCACTTTTATTCATACATATATTTTTATAACACTCATTTTGGTAATTGCTAGTGGATGAATGAAGTCATTTTTTAACATAATGTTTAGCTTGTAACATGTGTTTGTGCATCTTTCTCTACACTTGCAGTGATATATTTATCATTAGTGTGACTTAAAGTGTCCAGATACTTTTTGGGGCCACTGTAATTGCTGAGAAAGTAAATCATTTTTTTCAGGTGCTCAGGTGTTTTGTGGATGTTTGTTCTTATTTTCGCAGAGGGGTTTTAATGAGGTGCGAGAGGTAAAGCAGTTTCATTTCACTGGCTGGCCCGATCATGGAGTACCGTACCACGCTACAGGACTGTTGTCATTTATCAGACGAGTCAAGATGTCCAACCCTCCCACCGCTGGGCCTATCGTCGTCCACTGCAGGTACAGTGCATCAACACATGCTCGATGCCTTCACACATACAGCCTTTGTGCTGGAAGTGTAGAGGTCATGTGAACATGAATTTAGTCTGCTGTATCAAGTGTTCAAAGATCATTTGCAGTGAATGCCAGCATTTGGTGGAGTGTGAATAGTAGCAAAATGAATCCAACATAAAAAGGTGTGAATGACAGACGATTTGACAGTTTTTACATGTAAAAGTGGCTGGAAAATATTGCTAATGAAACGTCATAATTGCTTTGTACTGGTTTGAAGACAAGAACGGGATTTCAGAACTCTTCATGTTTTAGAGCAATAGTTCACTCAATCATGAAAATTTGCTGGAAATGCACTCCTCCCCGCAAGGCCAGGAAAAAGTTTGTTTCTGCATCAGATTTGGAGAAATGTAGCATTGCATCACTGTCTCAGCAATGGATGCTCTGCAGTGAATGGGTGCCGTCAGAATGAGAGTCCAAACAGCTGATAAAACATTACAATTGTCTTGTCAAGTGAAAAGCTATGTGTCTGGAAGAAACAAATCCATCAAGGTGTTTTGGTGTTTTTAACTCTACACAGTGGCTTCCAAGTCCATAATATTGCTTTCTCCAGTGAAAAAGTAATTGTGTCTGAATCCGGAGAGAAATGTGGACAGATGCAATGGTTTATATTTAAAACATTTTAATGATGCATCTGTTTCTTACAAACATGCAGCTTTTCTCCTCACAAGACATTGACTGATGGACTGGAGTGGTGTGGATTATTGTGATGTTTTTATCAGCTGTTTGGACTCTAATTCTGACGGCACCCATTCACTGCAGAGCATCCACTGCTGAGCAAGAGATGCAATGCTACATTTCTCCAAACCTGATGAAGAAACAAACTCAGCTACATCTCGGATGGCCTTGCGGGGGAGCACATTATCAGGAAATTTTCATTTTTGGGTGAACTATTATTTTAATGAACAGTACAGCATCAGAAGAAACCACAGATCCACAGCTTGAGGTCCGCCTCTGTTGAGATCGATTCTCGTGTTGTAGAGGAGAATGCATTGTCATTGGTTTATGACATCATTTCCTGTTCTTAAGGTCTTACCCAGCTCATCTGCATGTGTGCATGGTCTTGTGGTTGGTTGTGTTATTTTGTCATGCTCACACTTCTTTCTGCCAGCGTCCACATCTGACAGTGTTGGCCAGTCACAGCAGCTCTTATGACTCTTTGTACTTCTGATTCTCAGCTCATTTAACACATCTGGCTGAAACTATTTTACCCCTTTACATTACCACGTTGCTTGTCGTTCATGCCCCAAGAACAGGATGTGGTTTCATCTGCATTGCTGCATGCAAAAAAAAAAAAAAAAAGAACAAGCCCATGATGCAGCTTTCTTTTTCTTTCAGCAGTCTTTGATTGCTACTGTCTTTGTTTTAATGGCATTATGCTGCTGTTCAGTCAAACAGCAAAACACGGATTGCAGTGATAACCATAGCAACAGACAGATGTCAGCAAATGTTGTATGTCAAAATGTAAAATTTATAAGTCTTGCATTGTGAATGCTGACGAAAAGATCTGCTACAACAATATTAACCAGAAAAAGAAAAGAAATCAGTGATGGCTAACTAATAATAATAAAAACAGTCTTCGCTCTATTACATGTGATGTATTGCTTTGTTCTTCACTTCAATTAACTTTTCTTGGAAAATATTGGTTGCTGTATAATTTGCTTATTATTAGCATATTTCCAATGGTTTTGGTGAGAATTGTGACATTTTACCGGTATTGTGACACCACGACTAGAAACTAAATAACCAAATAACCTTTTTCAATTATTCCATGAAATTTGTGTAGTATAAATGTTTAATATTTTAAAATGCAGATATAATTTTAACAAAGACATTAAGCAAAGAAATAAACCTGAAGTAAACCTAATTTAACTACCTAGATTTGAACACAATGTATTTCATATTTATGAGGATGTATACATTGTTGTATAAAAAAAAATTGCCTTGGAAATTTCATAGATAAGACAGAACCGCTGCTTTAGACAGTTTGCATGAATTAACCAGCGTTATAGCCGTCCAATGATGTCTCACACTGTTTTTTGAGCATCCTGACACAAGTGCTTGGTTCTTAATCAAAACAGTGTCTTTAAACCTTATCGTTGTACAAAATGAAGCTTTAAGAATAGCTCAGATTTTTAAAGGAGTAGTGTTTATGAAAGAGTGAGCCACTGCTCACAGACACGTGCTCTTGTCTCTCAGCTGGCATTGTTTGATCAGTGAGATGATGCTTTTGTTCCCTGCTCTGTCCGTGTCAGTGCGGGAGCGGGCCGGACCGGATGTTACATCGTGATTGACATCATGCTGGACATGGCAGAGAGAGAAGGGGTGGTGGACATCTACAACTGCGTCAAAGCTCTGCGCTCCAGACGAATCAACATGGTTCAGACTGAGGTGCGTTTGCAAGCTTCAATCAGACTGATTATGCTCCTCTTTTATTTCCTCCCTATTAAATGTATTTTTAGGAAGCCACTGGATATAAAATTCATGATGTTGATTCATATTTTGATTTGGCTTTCAAGTTTACACAATTTAATTTAATGAAGTATGCAAAAAACATGCTTTTGCCTTTACTGCCAGTACTGTACCTTAAAGTGCATATTCAGAGGCCTACATTGACCTCTGAAACATCTAGAGGAATGAGACCACTAAGAGCCACTGTTGCAATATTTCCAGCAACAACAACAACAGAAAAGCAGGTGTAGTTTCTGCCTGGCTGCTATGATGCATTTCAGAGTGGATGAATTCAGAGTTCATTTAAAAAAAATTAAAATAGGTAGTATTTAATTGCTTTATACAAGTGTTTTGCAACAGTGGGACTCATGTCAAGCAAACTAATAAGGTTGTCAAAAATGAAAGCGCATGCACTGACGACTGGTTTCCCCTGGCTCTCAGGAGCAGTACATTTTCATCCACGATGCCATCCTGGAGGCGTGTTTGTGTGGCGAGACGGCGATTCCCGTGTGCGAGTTCAAAGCGGCGTACTACGACATGATCCGCATCGACTCTCAGAGCAATTCCTCTCACCTCAAAGACGAATTCCAGGTACCTGACATACGCTGTTTCTTATTATTTATGGCTGTGCTTTTCTGCTGGCTTTCCTTCAGGACCCAGATTTTGCATGGATATCAAGTGAAGACCCAACACAAAAATACAAAATCAGTTCAACAAATAACTGCTTATAATCAAACATGATTTTATTAATATCACCATGAACTGCATAGGCCCAACAATATGCAGCATCATTCAGTGTTTTGGTTTCTAAACACTTCTTGGTGGTTTTTCAACATGTATGTTCTTTGTAGCCAATAATTGACGGTGCAAAACAGTGTGTTTAAAACCCTTATTTAACATCTGCATTTTATTCATAGTTTTTGAGGATGCACGTGTGCCATACAACCTGTCTATGTTGGCATCTGGTTCATTTGAGTAGATTGGATTGGACACATGGCCTTTGACATTAACAACAAAAGATCTTGCTTCCATTCTCAGTTGCTATTGTTCACACTCTCTCCTGTGCAGACGCTGAACTCAGTGACTCCTCAGCCTCAGCCTGAGGATTGCAGCATTGCACTCCTTCCTCGAAATCACGACAAGAACCGTTTCATGGACAACCTCCCGCCCGACCGCTGCCTGCCCTTCCTCATCACCATCGACGGAGAGAGCAGCAACTACATCAATGCAGCGCTCATGGATGTAAGTATGGCTTCCTCGCTCTCGCTCTCTTTTCCTCGTCTCCTTTATGTTAGACACACGCTCTGTTCCAAAACCTAGTGAGCTGCCGACGGAGGCAACATTTGAGGACCAGTCCCAGAATAAATACACACACCTTTCTGTTAGTATTACCCATCCTAAAAGTTGTAGTAAACATATTGATAATATGGATTTAAAAATAATGGATTAATGCTGTGGATTCTCTTGAGTCAGTCCCTCATTTGTGTGCCGAGATGCAGCATCACAGATCAGTTATTTGTGAGTTCCCATGCTGCTTTAGAGCGCAGCTGTCAGTGTAGATAGTAGACAGCGAGATCTCTCATTGGATTTTGGAACGGAGCTACAGAAAGCTAGAGACAAATCCAGGTGGCAAGTCCTTTGAGTGGGACAGATGTTAGCGTGAGCCACTTTCAAACCTTTTCCAGTTGCTCTGTTATGAGCCACGTAACGTGGTGCTAGTGTCACGATTATTTGTCTTGACATAATAAAGCATTCAATTAGCTTCTTTTCAGTAGCGTAATTAATGAATTCTTCTTGATGGCTGTATGTGGTCCTAAATTGAACTTTCTTTCATTTGGGTTTTCAAAAATAATAAAGTCCAAACTATTTTTGGAAAGGGCGAGGTAAGTGTAAGTGTCAATCTCTTGCTTGAAAGCGTTGATTTTGTCATTTATTAAAGGACAGGTTCATCCAAACCCTGAACGTTCTGCCATCACTTCTCACCCTCGAGTCGTTTAAAATCTGGATGGTTTTCCTTCTTTCTGTGGAGAACAACTGGAGATGTTTACCACAGGTGTTTATTTCTATACAACAAAAGTGAAAGGTGACCACTTTCTGTCAAGCTCCAAAAAGAGGACAAGAAACCACCACAAAAGTAGTCCATACCACACACTTGTGCACTTTTAACTGAACACAAGCACAAATAAGACTTTCCACGCACAACGCTACCATCAGAGTTCTTGAGTCGTATGAGCTAGTGTTAATAGTCCTTTGAGCATCACAGCTCTTGGTCACTGCATGATTTCATATTATGGAAATTAGCCGCCTAATGATTCCTCCCAATTTGTCTTCCACGGAAGAAAGAAAGCCAGATTTGGAATGACGTGAGGGCGAGTGAATTTTCAGTTTCTAATCTGAGAATGCATTTGTTTAGTATCTAGATTGATCTGTGAGTGGCAGTGCATCCATCTCCTAGTGCTTCATTTGTCATGGCTGTCTGTGTAAGTCATGTAGAGTCTATCTAACGTAGAGCACTGTTTTTCAATGTGCACCATCTTCTCTATATCTGAAGCGTGTTCAGTCAGTGACGTCCCACAACAGATCTGTAGATCACAGCCGATGACCTCTGACCCTGGGAGATGGTGATCGCACAGCCGGAGTCAGCTAGTTTGACAGCTGAACTCAAAAAGTTGTGATTTTAGAGGGTCATTTTAAATCGCTTCCTCATACGCTTCACAAACTCTTGGACTTTTTTTAACCAAGCCATCAGAAGAATACCAGGTAATTTCTGATTCAGTTCTGCCTCTGTTAGACTGGATTTGTTTCGTGGCTTTAGTGGGATGTCAGCACTTTCCATTCAACCTCTCTATACTGGGTTTGCTACAGCATGCAAAAAAAAAAGAATGCATCACTTACAGAGATGAACGTTTATCACACTGACACATCGACAAAGACACGCACACACTGGAAACGACACACGTTTATATCATTCTCTCATGTGGAGCGCTCACTGTGGTCCGTGCATGATCGTACACATTCACACATCGGCTTGGTTGTGCGTAAGTGTCACAAAGCAGAGTGTTTGCAGGAAGTACGTTATGTTCTATGTCATGCAGAGCTACAGGCAGCCGGCCGCGTTCATCGTGACCCAGCATCCGTTACCCAACACCGTCAAGGACTTCTGGAGGCTGGTGTATGATTATGGATGCACCTCCGTCGTCATGCTAAACGAGATCGATTTGGCTCAGGTGAGATTAAAGCTGAAGTATGATGTTAATGCTCTTAATAAAATGTTTGTGCGAGGTATATTTAAGGAATGAGAAGACATGAAAGATCAATTGGTTAGCTAGAGAAGTCAGTGGAAAACAATCAGTTTATGTTGAGTTTCTTGGCGGGTTTAAAGTATAGTTCACCCAAAAATTTAAATTTGTGCTCACGCTTAAGCCATCCAAGATGTAGCTGAGTTTGTTTCTTCATCAGATTTGGAGAAATGTAGCACTGCATCAGTGTCTCAGCAATGAATGCTCTGCAGTGAATGGGTGCCGTCAGAATGAGAGTCCAAACAGCTGATAAAAACATCACAATAATCCACAGCACTCCAGTCCATCAGTTAATGTCTTGTGAACCCAAAAGCTGTGTGTTTGTAAGAAACAAAACTGTCAGTAAGACATTTTACCTTTAGACTGTTGCTTGATCTGTGCTTATTTCTCTCCAGATTCAGACGAGGTAGCTTTTTCACTGGAGGAGCGATATTATGGATTATGGACTTTAGTTAAAACATCTAAATGATGGATTTGTTTCTTACAAACATGCAGCATTTTGCTTCTCCAGATGTTAGTTGATGGATTGTGTTGTGGATTATTGTGATGTTTTTATCAGCTTTTTGGACTCTCATTCTGACGGCACCCATTCACTGCAGAGCATCCACTGCTGAGACACTGATGCAATGCTACATTTCTCCAAATCTGATGAAGAAACAAACTCATCCTAATCTTGGCTGGCCTGAGGGGGAGCACATTATTAACACATTTTCATTTTTGGGTGAACTATTCCCTTAACGCAACACCAGGGTTACTGTCAGTGGCTCCTGTGTGTGTTTGATCCGTGTGTAATCGGTGTGTACAGGGTTGTCCTCAGTACTGGCCGGAGGAGGGAATGCTAAGATACGGCCCTGTACAGGTGGACTGCATATCCTGCTCTATGGACTGTGACGTCATTAGTCGTCTTTTCAGGATATGCAACCTGACCAGGGTGAGTTTTTCCGTACATCTCTGAAACCCTTGATTATTTTGGCAAAGCAACAAAGTGCAGAGCCGTACACCTGTCTTGGGCAGAAGTGTGTAGTCACATTGATGTGTGTGTGTGTGTGTGTGTGTCCTAAGCCTCAGGAAGGTTACCTGATGGTCCGTCAGTTCCAGTACCTGGGATGGGCGGGTCATAGGGAAGTTCCCGCCTCCAAGCGCTCGTTCCTCAAGCTGATCCTCCAGGTGGACAAGTGGCAGGAGGAATGTGAGGAAGGCGATGGACGCACTATTATACACTGCCTGTGAGTACAGACGCAGCTGTTCATGCATTAATCAGTAGCTACAGTGTTACCTGTTGGCAGACAGAAAGTCAGACCACAAAGCCTCCTACTCACAGCTTCCTCTAATATCTTGTCAGTATTTCCTGTCAGTGTAGGAAATGTCTGTGAATAAATGTCCACTCTCACACTGCTCTCACTGATATCACATCTACCCTACACACCTACACAAACTATGACTGGTCCTTTTATATATCAAGTCAATTTTTTATATTATTTTGTTTGTGAAGAATAAATATAAACTTAAATTATTTATGCTGCATGAATAGAATTGCCTTGACGTGTTGTAGTGATAATGGCTTAAATTCTGTTTAAAGGGATAGTTCACCAAATATGAAAATTCTGTCATCATTTACTCACCCTCAAGTTTTTCCAAAACTGTATGAATTAATTTCTTCTGCTGACCACAAAAGAAGAGATTTTGAATAATGTGGGTAACCAAACAGTTGCTGTTTATTATTATTATTATTATTATTATTAATTTTAGTGTTTTTTTGCTGTTATTTTTCTTCCTTTAAAGATTCATTAACCCTTGTACAGCATACATTTAAAAGAACACATTACAGAAATCAAATGAAAATGTATTATCATTTAAATGTAAATTAAATACAATTCACTAAACTTAAGAGTGCTTTTTGATCCACTCAAGGAGTGTTATATGTAGTGCATCTTTATATGTCATTTCATAATTCTATTGTTTTTGAAATATGATTCAAGTTTTACTGCTGAATGTACTGACAAGCATTTATGATAAACTAAAATATACTTTAATTATATTTTAGATCATTTTAAGTTTTAATTTCTATTGAAACGTGTATTTGTAATTACACATTTGTAATGATGAAATTGCAATTTAGTGCAGTCACTGTAAGTTAAAATTCTACTCAAGTACTTTACATATGCTTTAGTTTGTTAGTCAACATCAAAATAAATGCATGACAAAAGATTATCAAGCCTTGATTTATAATGTACTTTAAAGTAAAGCTTTTAATTTGACATTATTATAAAGTGCACCTTTTTTAAAAGTGTGTTACTAGTGTGTTAGAAACAGTCAACAGAGTGTGTCTCTTTAAGTGCATTTAATATAATGTTATCTGCAAGTACACTTTTTTATGTACTTTGTATGATTTGAAGTACTCCACTAGTGCACATTCACTAAAATTAAGCACACTTCTTTTTCACAAAAAAAGAAGCCCCAGTGAGCAAACCTGTAATGTGATAGTAGTGAAGAAAAAAGTCAAGTGCTCAAACTGACGCTGCACTACAGTGTGTGTGTGTAATGTTAGTCTGGATACAGGACGTCTCTGTGTGCTGCAGCACACACACACACACACACACACACACCTTATGGCACACGTGTGTCTCTTCATCTCTCTCTGTCTCTGTAGGAACGGAGGCGGCCGCAGTGGGATGTTCTGTGCCATCAGTATTGTGTGTGAAATGATAAAGCGGCAGAATGTTGTAGACGTCTTTCATGCTGTGAAGAGTCTGAGGAACAGCAAGCCCAATATGGTGGACAGCCCGGTATGAACGGACCTCATGCACTAATATCTACACTCATTCTGCTTCTTCAGGCAGAGCAAATCACTGGAGAAACTCTTCATTTTAGTGCCACGTATTAACATGCACTTACTATAGTGATAACAGTCAATTCGACAGAATTACAAGTAACTAACTTTAAACCGAACCCCTCATCCTAACACTACAGTGAGAACATGAGCAACATTAATTAATATTACTTATTGGAGTAATCACAGTGCAACAATGTCACCATAAAAAAAAAGTGTATTTGTACCTCATTGCATTTTTGTCTTGTTGAACATCCCAGCATCCTTAAAACAAGATACATTTACTTAAGAAACATTGCGTGCAAGACTAAAAATATCTTCCACTGGCAAACCGATTTTTCTTGCTTTAGGACACATGTAATATAATGCCGCGTGAGAGCTCAGAAAAATACATTCTCTGGAAACACAGCATCTCAAGTCAGTTTATCCTGGTTTAAGGGTGCTGAGATATTTGACTGGAAACGACAAAAGTACTGATTAGGAAAAAAAAATGTTTTGAATGCGTTGACTTTTATAACAAGCACTGAAATTTCACAATAAATGCTAAGAGAAGTGTAAACATATAACATTGAATAATAATCTAACACAAACAAATCATCATATAAAGCCCATGTTTTTTTTTTTTAAACAAAAAAAAGACATCTATTTTATACTTTATAATTTATTCTTCCTTATTTATTGTATTCTTTTTTTAATTATTTAGAAATTCATGTTTGTATGTTAGTTGGCCATTTAGCGCAAGTAAGAGAGATGTTTATCAGGGCTCGATATATTTTCATGATAATCTGGCGTGGCTCAAACAGCTTCACCACATCCTCTGCAGCTCTTCAGAGAGTCAGCCTGTGCTTCAGTCAAGCTCATATTTGCCTCTGCTTTAAGTTCATCATTGCCACAGTCTGGACGTGTGTTGTGTAAAGCTCATAATTTCCCTCTCGCTCTGCAGGAGCAGTACCGCTTTTGCTATGATCTGGCTCTGGAGTACATCGAGACGTCGTAATGGAGACATCATCTCATACAGACTCGTGTGTGTGTGTGTGTGTGTGTCCATTTGTGCATCTGTGTTGACTTTCATGAAATTCAAGTGCCAGCCACCCGGTCATGTTTTTTTTATATAATCGTTTTTTAAAATTTTTTATTTTGTGCAGCCATTTGAAACCGTAAGCCCGAGCTGTTGCATGCTGAAGACGCTCTTTATTTCTTTGTGTCTATCACTGTTCCTGTTAATAATAACCATATATAGTAGTACTAGTATAAATGGACATTGTTTTGAAAAGACACACACATGTTTATCCATCGATTGAGAGCGTGTGACTTTGGCTCGAGAAGACTGCATTCCGCACTAATGGCTGGCTTATTATGTGTTCTTTTGATTTTTAGTAGCAGACGATGACCATAAGCCAAAGACTTGTGTAAATATGTCTATAGGGATGAAGCACATTGTTTGTATTTATTGTTTACTTGCATTTTTGAAAGCTCAAAACAATCATTATCATTCCCCGTTCGGCTGAAATTTTCACTGCAAACACTCTTTGTAGATTTTTATGTATGAGACAGATTTAAGTAGTGTTATTTTTTGTTGTATTTGAAAATTGTATTTTCTCTTTTTTTGTTATCTTTCACATGCTATCATGGTTTGTTTTGCATAACTGATTGTGAATTATTCTTTTGCTGAGGAGAAAAGAGAAGAGCTCTATTTTTTTCTGACGTTTTCACATTTGTATTGTGCTGGAAATGGAAAAAAAACACAAACAATGAAGTGTATGCATTAAAAATATACACAGTATTAGACTCCAGTGTGTTTAGGATCAAAGCCAATTTAAGAAAAAAGATGCAGCCTGTATCGATGCTGATCGGACGTTTTATAAAAAACAAAACGGCAACAAAAAATCCATCATGTGAAATAATAACTTATGTATTTTTTGTCTGTAGTTGTTGGCTGTATTACAATGTCAAATAGTAAAAATACTTTGAATAAAAAAAAAAAGATGTGTTAAAGAATTAGTTTCTTCCAGTTTGGAATGAATTTGCATACTTTTAAAATGTGGTTTGTTCAAAATTTAGTGGTGGTTTCCCAGCTTTGAAAATATTGCTATAAAAATGAGTAAACGATGCGCTGAAACTGGTGTCGGATGGATCATTGTTTCAGTGATTTGGATCCCTGTTGTTTTCGCATTGTTTTGGCCCTGGTGTCATGAAGTCAGGCAGAGGATGTGGGATTTGTGTATGTCAAAGCATTTTTTTGCAGATACCCGGTGCAGCTTTGCTTAACGTTGCGTTGAGTTGTGGTCTTCGAGCTGCACTCGGCTTCCTGTCCTCCTCCGCTGCGCAGGATGCCTCACAGTCTCGTCTCAGTCTGCACTGCTGAGCTCAAGGGGCGTCTGGAGGGCCAAAGGGCATCCTGGGAGTTCCTCTGCCATCTAACCCACCATTTTATGGATTCACGAGGTACAGAGCCACGTCTCTCAGCCCGTCCAGAGCTTTAAAAACGTCTCCTCGTAAAAGCACAGCAGAAGATGGCTACGACGCTGCATGAATTCACGCAGGTTCTGGATCCTAAAATGTTCCCCAGAGTGCTTCAGATCCAGTCAGGAATATATTGTCAAGGTAAGAGTAAAACTGCAGAGTTACCTGCTCATAATTCATCTGCTCCTCACAGTCAAATAATAGCTGGAATTATGCATTTCCAACATTGTAAAGCCTAGAACCGCTTGTGTATGCTTATTGGTTGAAATGGTGAAAAATTGATACTATTTATTCATATTAGGTTTGCTGCTTTAAAAAAAATCATAAAAGGCAAAATAGGCAACATAATCCTATTACACAATTTGTGTTTAAGCTTTGAAGACGGGCACACTTTTACATATGAACCAAAAGCAGCTTTCACAAATACGTCATATAACTTTTAAACGTTTAAGAGGTAACTAACTAGTAAGAAAAGTACTGAAATTATCAGTTGAAGAAACAAATTTGCATTTATTTTCAAACCACATGATGCCGAGCGGAAACCCACTTCTTTCTGATCTTTTTCTAGTTCCTTTTATTCTGAATTATGTCTTTTGTAATGTCATTTAACTGCTCACAATAGCACTCCAGTGCTTGTGATGAAATGGTTTGGAATGCTTTATAATGGTTGAAATGGTGAAAAATTGATACTATTTATTCATATTAGGTTTGCTGCTTTAAAAAAAATCATAAAAGGCAAAATAGGCAACATAATCCTATTACACAATTTGTGTTTAAGCTTTGAAGACGGGCACGCTTTTACATATGAACCAAAAGCAGCTTTCACAAATACGTCTTTTATATAACTTTTAAACGTTTAAGAGGTAACTAACTAGTAAGAAAAGTACTGAAATTATCAGTTGAAGAAACAAATTTGCATTTATTTTCAAACCACATGATGCCGAGCGGAAACCCAATTCTTTCTGATCTTTTTCTAGTTCCTTTTAGTCTGAATTATGTCTTTTGTAATGTCATTTAACTGCTCACAATAGCACTCCAGTGCTTGTGATGAAATGGTTTGGAATGCTATATAAGGTTTAGAATGTATTTTAATGTGTTTTAAACTCTTTAACAATTGGTTCTTTTTCAGGCTGCGTGTATGAGATGTTTGGAAGAGAGTGTTCTCTTTCAACGGGAGATTTGCTGAAAGTCATTGATATCACCATCACCAGATTCACTGCTCAGACCTCCAGCAACACTGAGATTGAGATTCCTGTGGAATTTCCAGGTATTATTTGTGATTAGCAAGTGATCTGGTTATTGTTGGTTAAAATATGTTCGGTTTAAAACAACCGAAAATAGCTAAGCTTGATCAGTCTGTTTGAGAAGCACCTTCCACTGATTCCATTTGCTACAGGAATCTACAATTTACCTGTCATCGGTTGAAAATGTGTACATGCATTTGTTTTGTTAATGAATTGATTTTAACTTGTTTAATATCAATGGTTAAATTGAAATGTTTCAAATTAAAGTATTTTATTCATAAAGCATGCCGTTCACATACATAAAATAATTGCAAATACATAAAACGTAGTCTAACGACAACAAAAACATATTTTGAAGTATGCGCGTGTATGATGTACGCGTGTTTGAAGTATGTCGTGTCAGATGTTGGCTTTCCATTTTGTTCAGTCTTTGTGGGTCCAAAAGATATAAATGGAGGAAGTCATGTTGCAAATCTCATCATCTGCTCATCCACGATAATTCTACGTGTCTACGTGTCACATGGTGAATGTTTTGAATAAATGTTACATATGAAACTAAATAAGATAAGCTGTTGCTTCTGGTCATGCCAGTTCTGTCACATAAAATGCATTAAATTACAAAATAAGGTTTTTTTTTCATATATTTATTCTTTATATGTGAGCCTGGAGCACAAAAGCAGTGTTAAGTCGCTGGGGGATATTTGTAGCAATAGCCAACAATACATTGTATGGGTCAAAATTATACATTTTTCTTTTATACCAAAAATCATTAGGATATTAAGTAAAGATCATGTTCCATGAAGATATTTTGTACATTTCCTACCGTAAATATATCAAAACTTAATTTTTGATTAGTAATATGCATTGCTAAGAACTTCATTTGCACAACTTTAAAGATGATTTTCTCAATATTTAGATTTTTTTGCACCCTCAGATTCCAGATTTTCAAATAGTTGCATCTCGACCAAATATTGTCCGATCCTAACATGTACATGTACATACATCCTACATGTATTTATGTATAAATCTCAATTTTAAAACAATTGACCCTTATGACTGGTTTTGTGGTCCAGGGTCACATATTTGTACACAGTGCCTTACAACTTCTATTTGAACTTCAGAAGAGTGGTGCTTATGTACGATAGTGATTTTATTCCTGTACACCATTTCATAAAGGTTAAAGTGACCGTGTTACAACTCACGTCATGTTAAAATCATCCCGTTTCTTAAGTTGGGACTCGGCTGTTCTAGTAGGACAGCGAAGAACAATGACATTTCACAAAAGTGATTTTGTGTCTCTGATGATATCGTGGAGTGTCGTATAGTGTCTCACTATTAACTAGCATGCATATTATTATTATTAGTACATATTAAGGTCTTATTCTGCATGACCATATTTTAGATCCTACACATACCTAAACTTAACAACTACCTTACTAACTATTAATAAGACAAAAGTTGTAATTAACAGTTAGTCAATAGTGAGAATTGGTCCATAAACTAAAGTGTGAACAGCGACTAATATGCAAAGATGCAAGGTTCATTAGAGCAAACTCACTGCTGCGTTACCAGTTATGTGCAGATGTTTGATCCTACTGTCTTTGTGATATGTGATGGTCAGCAGCTCTTCATAACTCTATAGTGATTTCCATGACAATCTTAGCCGAGTGGTGGAATGCCTTAAGGATGAAAAGCTCTGTCTTCTCTTGGATAAGTCAGATATAGTGGACAGTGGACAAAGATTTGTATTTTCCACTGGTCATATCTTACAGGACTTTGTTTGATGCACCATACAAAATAATTGGTGTATGATGCGCCTGTTAATGACTCACTACAAACGTTAATGTGTTTGTATTTTTGTTATAATCCACATTCTGTATGTTGTCACCACTTTTGGTTCTTGGAGTGACTTAACCTTGTGCTCTATGTGTCAGGTTTGTTCAAACTGTTGGCCGACAGTCAGCCGTACCGAAGCATACAAGAGATAGCCGACTCACTCAATATCAGCTCCCACAGACTGTCCCAGCCCGTTTTCCTCAGCGGTTCGGAGATTCAGCTGGCGCAGGGCATCATCAGGGAAGGAGACAGCTTCAGAATCACTGCCGTCACCCATGAGCTCAACGGTGGACGTGTGCAATGTGAGCTGCTACACAGAGAGCCCAAGTTCTGCTTTAGCCTGAGCTTCTCCCAGCAAGGCCACTTCACAGAGTGCCAGGACAACCAGTTTTATACCCTGAAAGAGATCGCAGAGTGGAAAATCTCCAAAGGCAGAAAGAGGACTGTAACCGAGGTCAAAACTCTTCCCAAGAAGGACTTCTTATTCTCGAATTTGCTGGAGAATGTATTTGGAGAGCTGAAGCTGACCCCTGTGTATGAACTAAAGGCTGTTACAAGGCGTGAGTATGACACTAGTTTCATTTCTACACAAATATTGTTAATAACATGATTATAGCTCAACATGCAGCATATTTTTTGGCTTGTTTTCCTGTAAAAATGTCTAAACTCCCTAAAAAGACCCAAAGATGTATTAAGTCGTGTTTACAGAGAAATTCAACAAAGTTAAATGAGCTTTATGCTTTAATCATGAAGGAATTATTTGACAATGGTGTAAGAAAAATGTATTTGTTTTCCCTTTGAATTGTTTTTTTTCCCTGACACCTCTGCCATATTTATTTTTATTGTAATCTTAGTTAGGTTTCTCTGAAAGCAAGAGATAATATAATTCTTTTTACTTTTCAAGTAAATTTATCTTATTTACAGGACATTTAGAGATTTTGGTGACACTTCACAATAAGGTTCCGTTTCTTAACATTACTTAACTAAATTAGCTAACATAAACTAACACTGATTGCTACTTCGAAAGCATGTATTAATCTAAGTTTATGTTAATTTCAACATTTACTATTACATTATTAAAATGAAAAGTTGTATCTGTTCATATTATAGACCTGATATAACAAGAACTAACAATGAACAGTTGTATTTTTATTAACTAACGTTATAAAGATTTATAAATACTGTAACTAATTATAGTAAATAAAAACAATTGCAAATAGTACTGTTCATTGTTAGTTAATGTCAGTTAATGCATTAACTAATGTTAAATAAAGGGACCTTATTGTGTAAAATAAATAAATAAAAACATGATAAATAAAACAGGGTTAATTTTAGGCTTTGTAAATGTTTTTGCTTTGTGATTCGGTCATTACAGATGAATAAAAAAAAGATCAGCTTGAAAAGAATCCATTAGGCTTTATTCACAGGTAGAGAGAGTCTAGGGGTATGATTCTCGCTTCGGGTGCGCGAGGTCTCGGGTTCAAATCCCAGACGAGCCCCCACTTGTTACGATCCCCCTTTTTGGTCTAGGGGAGGGAAAGGTGGGTAACAAAAGTTTGCGAGGAGAGAGTGCAAGCACAAGTTACAACACCACCAGCTTTCAAAGTAAAAAAATATAACAGGCTTTATTTTAGGTAATCAGTGGGATACAAGCTTAAGACTCCAGGAGGGGAAACAGCCAAAATAACAAACAAAAGATACACTTACTGAGGGTTTGTGTACATAACTTACCTAGCTTCAAAATAAAAAGAAACCAAAGACAAATCCTTTCCTTACTCCCTCTCTTTTTAAAAACCAATAGAAAACATGAATTATCAAATTAAATGGCATCCTCCTCCCTACAAATTATCCCACAACAAAGATATAACGAAGTTCAACAATAGATAAACTTAAAGGAAAATCTGGCCACGCAGGCCAGGACTACACAGATACACACAACCAAGGTGATCACTTTAACACTTCAACTAGTTAAGGGTAACTATAAACACAGAGTTACCATACGTAAACAAGTTAGCACACAGCATAACTTGCACTTAACCACTACAAGTTACAACAACATGTACAACAAAAGAATCAAGTGCTGGGACCGGAAGATGACAGTCTCTCAGATGAAAGCCTCTCTCCCATTTGGAACTCTCTGGGTTCCTATATACCAGGGGTGTCCAATCCTGCTCCTGGAGGGCCAGTGTCCTACAGAGTTCAGCTCCAACCCCAATTAAACACACTTGAACTAGTTAATCAAGGTTTGACTAGGCATACTAGAAACTTTCAGGCAGGTGTGTTGAGGCAAGTTGGAGCTAAACTCTGCAGGACACCGGCCCTCCAGGGAGATGGTCCTCACTGCAGAACACAAGATCCAGGGGGCGAGGTTGGATCCAAATCCAACTCCTACCACCTTACATATACCTAAACCTACCCGTCACAACTCCCTGATCCTTAAACCCACCCATCTCCACCCCTAAACCTACCACCTCCACCCCCTAGATGTGGATTCAACCCCACCCCCTGGATCTTTGTTCTGCAGTGAGGGGCTACTGCCTCCAGGACTGAGTTTGGACACCTCTGCTATATACTGTTCCACTCACACCTTAATGAGCTGGAACCCAAATCAGGTGGCACTCCCAAACTTGTGAAGTGGATAGTGGGAGGAGCAACAAGGAGACACAAAGAGAAAACACAGGGACACCAGCAGCAAATGAAATATATGTCCCTATCGACATAACATTTGTAAAAATGTTAATAAATCCATTTGTACATAAACCATCACATTCGATTCAGTGGGACAATTTGTGCATGAAAGCGTTCAGGTAATTGGCTTACACGTAAACCTGTTCTGCTCACGTCTGTTCTCTGTGTTTACTCTTTCTTCCCACAGTCAGTGAGAAAATTATGCTTGTCCCATCAAATTTGGACGTGGAGGTGGTGGATGTCACCGAACAGTTTGACTGTGACTCCTTTGTGCAGCCTCTCTCTCTTATGGACGTTTTCAAGAGGCCTCGAGAGTTTTTTCCTGTGGTGGCCAAGTTGTCATGTGAAAGACCTTTCAAGCTTTCGCCAGAGCTGGAAATGCTTTTCCATTCCAAACAGGTGATCATTCATCATGCTTTTTCTGCTAAGCGAATACTGGCCTCGGAAATGGGCCGTGAATCAACAAGACACTTTCTTATTCCGGAGTCCTACAACGGTCGCTTCAAGCGCCGGCCGCGACAGTTCCCCACCGCCTACGATCTGGAGCGAGCGCGCAGCGAGACCGAACAGATACGTGTGGTCGCCACCAGGGAGTTTGAGTCTGTGTACAACGGGCTCACTTCTGTTAATGCTGGAGATGAGTTCATCGTGACAAAAGGCAAAAGCTGTGCGCTTTCACACAATGGGACCAAGAGGGCAGCTGATGCTTTTCAATGTCTGAAAGTTACAGAGAAAAGCCAAAAGACGGAGGTGAAGGAGTCTGTGCGCCTCCCCGTGTGTTTGGAGGGGGGATTCATGGAGCTTGTTAAAGACAAGCGTCAATACACCATTGCGGAAATATGCCGATGGTTCCCGCTGCCCTTCAACGTCAATGTGTCTGTGCGTGACCTCTCTCTGAAGGTGGACATTTTGGCTGGAGCACCCGGTCTGCACATTGAGGAGGAGATCTCTGACCCTTGCCTCCTCATTTCAAACACTGACCTCTCAGAGATCAGGGAGGTGCCAGTCAATCGCTCAGACTTGATCCTCAACATAAAACAGCACTGGGATGGCGAGAGTCCAATATGTAGTGGAAATTCAGCCATCGAGGAGATCTCAGAGGACTGTTACTACACACTCAGGAGATACGCCGTTACTACCATCACACCCCCTCCACGACCTCCCAAAAAACCCAAAGACCCTCCACCACGACCTCCCAAAATGCTGTCATCCAGATCTGAGAGCGTAAACAGTGAGAACTCCAGCTGCTCTCCACAGGTAAACTGTATTTCATTGCATTTTGTGTTAGAGACTTCACACTCAAAACACTTCATCCCTTTGCACGTATGGTGAGCTATGACACTCAAATTTGCTGTGCGAAGCAATAGCAAGCCTCTAGGTTCGGCGAATGTTCATAATTTAGCAACAAAGCAAAACTGAAGATCCACAATGATCCGTAAAAAAAGAGACTGTTTATAAAGCAGTTATTTAGAGTTCATTGGCTTGTTAGCCGGTAGAATAGCTTAGGATGTTTATTTCGCCGTCATTATTCCTGTATGATTCATTGTATTTTGTGACCACACCATTGGACGGCACACCCACAAACCATTCACAGACCATCTGATGAATACTGCATAGGAAATGACCAGAGCTGGCTGAAATCACCAGTTCCAGTCTGACGGCTTTGTGCAACATCCTGGAGTCAGGGTACTTATGTTTTCATCAGTCTGCCTTTGAAAGTAGCTCATGGATTTGCCAAAGTTTGTGGCTTCACATGTGTGAGAGAATATTTTGTTTAAAGCCCATAGAAGCAAGTAGCCAAACGAGATCTTTGGGTGGCATGTGTTTCTTAGCCAGAATAAGGTGTAAAGTGGACCTGACTTCACAGAAATAATCAAAAGTGAGGCTACGTGAGACTCAGACTGCTTACTGTAAATCATTTAAGGGGCTATTTAAGAGCTTGTGTGCAGTAGAGATAGGAGAGTGTCATGCTAAGTTTCATTCACAGAACACTTGTAAGTACAAAATACTAAAGCATTAAGATAAAAAAAGAAAACACGTGTGAAATTTACTTATGGTATGGTCAATGAGCTAAACTGCAAAAATGACTTTAAGTCATGAGTTTAAACATCCTTAAAGGTGCTGTATGTAGGATTGACACCGAGTGGTTGAACTAGGTATTGCAGTCCAAATTCTAAATATTGGAGAGGGGTTTTTTCAACCGGTCCCTCCTCCTCAGACTTGATGCACACGCAGGTTGCCAGATTGACGACACCAACACTTTCGTTTGCCAGCTTCCATGACTGAAATATGCTGTGTTTCCCGCCAACTGGCAACCCGGGGTGCCAAAATACAATTGGGTAAACTGGCAGTGGGCGGGTTTTACAATCCAAAACAGAGACCGACATTCTGGCCCGGAACGCACATTTTCAAAGGAGAATAACTGACTGTAGCATTGTTTTTCAGATAAACAAATGTTAACTTGGCATGTTTCTTAAATATCTGCAAACATATTATGGTATTTTTATGCTTTAGTAGTCAAAAACTTACATACAGCACCTTTAAAACCAGACAAATTTACTTTACTAAGTGGCAGATGGCAGATATTTTCTAACTTGAAAAAAAAAAATCTGCTAATGCATTCAGACAATACATGGATATTGGATGATAGATAACAATTAAAAAATAATCAAATGCTTTGTAATTATTACTGTCAATAAATGAGAAAAAAGCAAAACCGAAGACGCATAATAAATACTTATACTACTTGTGTTTTAGATTTCGACAGATTAGAGATATTGTAAATTACAAGCAGATGGTCTATGAAACATAAGGTGTCACACATGATTCACGCATGATGAGATGCTTTTATTTTGCAATCTTATTTCACACAGAGATGCAGAGGATGTTATAGTTACCAACATTCAATATTTAACACATATTTAACACATGCCGTTATCGTAAGTGAACAAGAAGCCAGAGCTCTGCATTTAAGTATCAAAGAATTTTTCCAGCAAGACAATGGCCCGATGCACACAGTGAAAATATCCAGAGAAGCGGAAGACATTCACACTGATTACACTTTGTAAATGAGAAATGCATTGTGCAGATAGGAATTCTCTTAAATGATTAACATTGCATTATATTCTAAATAATTGTTGAAAATAATTTTAATGTGTGAAATCTGAAAGTGTAACAAACTAAATGTGAAAAATCCGATAATTAATGTCAGAATATTTTCAGAGACCTAACATATGGAACAAGCTGAATATGCATGCAGATCTGCATTTTAAATGCACATTTAATTAATTGTATGTACAGAACCATTAATAAACACCCCTCACTGAACAGTTGCAGAAACTAATCCCACACACTGATATATCACAGAAGCTCATATAACAGTGAGGTGGACTGTAATATGGTAGAAGGCTTATAAAACTGCTAGGCGCCTCCTAGTGGATTCTTTTACTAAGACAATGCAATAAGAACTGAACTGTTCAAACTGTTCAATTTTACAGGCAGATCTCACAGACATAGTAGGAGGAGGATAGAAAGACATAGCAGGGATGTATTGTTAAGAACTGTATAAAAACTGATTGTTGCATTTTAAGCCTGGACTATAATGACATGTGTACCACATGAATGTATTTACGTATGTTATATGGCGCTATGATACTTATGTTCCAAAGCAATATATACTGCTAAATAACATTACATACATTTTTAATGTAATGTGTAGACGTCATAGTTATTAATTGAATATGATGTGGTGTAATTAATTGAAATGAGACCTGTTTTTCCTCAACAGGTTTTGTTGCTGTTGTTTATTTGTTTTAGTGCTATGTTCACCAATAGTTTTTTTTTTTTTCACCAAAACTCTGATTTAGTCCAAATCTGCTATCTGACGATCTGTTTGTCCATGATTTGTACTAGGAGTGTTGAAAAGACTGATTACATTTTTTTTTTACTGTAATGGAACTTTTATATTCACTTATTATATATACATTGCGTAATTTCATGTTCTCTCATCCCTGTCACAGAGTCATTGTGTCGAACCTTTTAAGCAAGATGACTTCATGCAATGCAGTGACTCGAAAAATGGAAAGGACAAAAAGATTCCCATTAGTCCGGTCCTTTTCCCAAAGCCTACCCTGCAGAAAGGTAGGAACATTCTGCTACATCCCTCGTCAGTGTTTATCAGCATAAGTGTGCTATTTGTGCTATTTCAGCGTCAACTGAAATAGCCGTGTCCGTGGGCCTCATTGATAAAATGTTGCATAGAAACACGCACTTTAATCAAATTTGATCAAATCTGTGCACACGCATGTTTTATAAATGAGGCCCCTGAACATTTGCTCCACCTGCCATTGGCCCCAGACTCACTCTGTTGAAAAAAAAAAAAAAGGAAAAAGTACACACTTCACCTTTAACCGGCTGTGTTTTAAAGCTTGTGTGTCCTTGTTGTCCTCACCCAAATTTTGAGTGGCCGTTTGATTCCCCCTCCCTCAGATCTTGCCAAGGGCCGAAGTTTGGACAACATATCCATCACAAAACTTGAAGATGACGACAATGATGTGCATGATTATGAATACATAGATGAAGATCAGCTTGACAGTATAAGGAGGACATTCAATGAGCAAGACATTAACATGGGCAAAGGAAAACCGAGTAACACAATATAAGTATACTACGAAGACACAACATGGTTCAACACACACGGAGTTCACTATGGCTGTGTTCCAAACCCACTTGCTTTAATTTCACATGACGTGACTGACATGGCCAAAGTCTGTTTAATAATCACATTACTATAAATCTGATGGAATGCAAATAATTTATTAAGTTAAGGTCTTCCATGTTTTCAGATCCCAGAGCAAAAATGTACTTATTAGCCCTGTAGGAGAGCAGACATGAGGCTTTTTGGAAAAGCTTCTCTTAATGGGATTAATGCCAAGCTTGGAGTGAACAGGTTAAAGTACATTAGTTCAGCATCGTCTTTGTTTGGTCAGTTGATGGTCTGACCCTGATTTACTGCATGTTATATATTCGTTCAAATCCTTTTCCCCCTTGAATTTGTGTGCAAGATCCATTGGATATTATGGTGCTTGTATTAACTGGTGTACTGTTTGTTATGAAACGGTAATAAGTAATAACCCCTGTAATTATACTGTAAGTATAAGTAATAAATAATGTCTGGTGAAACACACAGTACATAATCTTCCAATTGTAGGTGTCATATTTATTCATATATTTACTCCCTACCATATATGGCACATAATTCCAGGCAACACATTATTCAATAAAAAGAAAGTCACACTCATTTCAGCAGCCAGAACCTGTAGATCTGTGTGGCCACTTCTTTAAAAGCAGAATTTTTAAAGAAAAGCAGTTTTGTTTTGAAGTATATAGTTGTGTATTATCAGAGAAGCGATTGCTACTTAAAAAATCTCAGCAGAGTTGTAGGCTGAATGATTAAAACCGCGTCGATCATTCCAAATAAACAAATCTACAAAGTCTTCACAGAAGTGGGCTTACTAGCAAATCCAAAAATTCAGATATTGTATATTATTTTCCACACAATATTATTAATATTTTTTTGAAAACCACAAAGAATGCAGATCTGAGATATTAATAAATCGCACAGAAATCGATTTCTCGAAGCCACTTTTTTTTTTTTAAAGGTGGTTCTACAACAGACTGGATCACAATCTGCTCTTAAATGCACATCACTGTACAGATGCCAAAAAAACTCCGTTTAGCATCTGTTTACCGATGTGTCCAAGACTGTGTTGTTTTAGCCTGCTGTTACATTGGTGTGCACGACAAATAGTGTTAATGTATTACAATGACTTGAATTATGAAATGCCACCCCTGTCAACATGGCTTATAATGGGAATTTAAATTGAATTCAAAATGTTTACATTTATTGGCATTGGACAAAAATGCAATGACAACACCGCTGTTAGAAATGGTCTTTCTATTGCCAAGTCTCTGAATCTCTCCAGGCTGCAGCTATGCTTGGAGAGAAAGGCTTGTGGATCATGCACTCTGTCACTGGGGTGGTGCCTTTTCAAGAGGTACACTTTTAAACCTTATTTATTTAACGCTGCATATTAGTACCTAAAGTGTACACATTGTACCTAACTGGTACATATTAGTACCTTTTAAAAGGGTACCGCCACAGTGACAGCTGCTTTTGATGCAATAGTTTTTGTTAACTTAAGGTTATATTTATCTCAGACCTAAAAAAGGTCAGTTAGGTTATATATCATAGAATTGAAAGTGGGTGTTTTTTTTGTTTTTGCATTATTTGGTGGAGAAAGAAACCACATTTTCTGGTTTACTTTGAATAAAGGAGATGGAAAGCAGCCATGTTTGATTTTTTTATTCTGTTTTTATTTTGTTAAAGATACAAATGCTGTGTTTTGCACTGACTGTCATGGTACAATATCTGGGATGCTGCGTTGTTATGGACACAGCCAACATCTGCAGATTAAGAAGCTGTTTGATGTACACCGCTCTAAACAGATTGATTCCACCCAGATTGTTAACAGATGATGTGTCAGCAGCTGGTGGTCATCTCGGTCAGGATTGCCATCAGACTGGTACCAGGGAACTTGGGGTCAAGAATGAGGTCGTGAAGAAGGCCTTGACCTTTCTCCCGAGCCTGAGGTGAACACATCGCTCTCCGCCAGAGATTCACGAGGGAACCACCTGTTTACAAATGAATAAATACAACTTCAAAAATTCTAAATAATTCTCTTAATCACCTGCATGGCCTGAGACTGGATGTTTTCATTTCTATTGGTTGATATTGCAAATGGTCACTTGTCAAAAAACTTAGCCTGGTAATCACTCTACTATTGTGTGAAGATTTCATTTTGCAACAGTTGCGCTCTTCTACAAGCAAACCAAGAAGCTCTCTGTGCAACATAATGAAAGCATGTGAAATTGTCTCCCACTGAAAATGTGCATTGCATGATCTAGTCACTGTTCACTTTTTTATTAATCCATCAGTGTATTGCACAACAGACACATGTAGCATGGTACAAATGTCTAAGACCACACTGACAATCTGGAATTCAAAATGTAAACATTTTAATGAATATCTTTGTAGAGATGGTCAGATTTTCTTATTCCCCTAAAGCTCTTTGGAACATCTCAAATCATGCTGGAGAACATGATCATCAGGTTTTGTTCATGTTGCTCCTCTACTGCTGTCATTAATGGGATAGTTAACCAAAACATAAAAATTCCATTATCATTTACTCACACATTCAAGATTTTGAATAGAATTTAATTGTATGAAGAAAAACACAGAATGAAAAGCTCTGGGTGAACTATCCCATTAAAGCAGAAGGGTGACATTAAAATCCTAAGACCTTCTCAAATTAAAAGTTACCTTTTCAATTTTATTCAGTGGATAAAAAAGAATGCATTCCAGCACTGAAGCAGTTTCACTAGTGTTCTCAGACGTCTGGACCCCTAATGTATAACTTTTCTCCCTCGCTCCATTTCCTCGGAGACTCTTACCAAGCACTTGATTCACACGGTTCATCCAGCCGAAGATGTGGAGTGCGTGGTTCTCTTCAGCGCTGAGATCGGGAATGTTGGGTGGGCTATCAGTCTCCTGCAGCACTCGGCTCGGCAGAGGAGCCATGTACTTCTCGGACTTCTCGATGTTGGCGTGGAAATGAGCAGCTGCTACATATGCTGCTGAGTTGAGCCAGCCCTGTCCAAAGCGCACCTCAGGAGACGAGTACAACTTCTGCCTACAGCACAGAGTTAAAGAAGCCTTATTACAACATAAGGCACCTGCCAAACTGAGGCTGGACGAATATCCACACATATTTGGATAAAGGGAATGGCACGATGTCATTGAGCAACAGTTCGAATGCTTTATTAAGTGTATATATAGAGTATATATGGACCTTTCACTGCAGGCCAAGGAGGCGGTTTGTAGAGATGCCTCTTCTGCTGCCCACAGCAGTCCCAGGATCTTGTCCTTCTTGTTGAAATCTGTGTCGTCAGAGTTACTGATCTGCTGCAAAGACTATAGAGGACCACAGAAAAGAGTAATAGTGAGCAAAAAAAATCTCTTTGCTTAATTGATGATATGCGCTTGAATTAGCATTACAAGTTTGAAAATCTTTGGTACATGGTCAGTATCACACGTTTACTTGCATCTAGTTACTGACCTGGAGATAGTGAATTTAGTATTCTTCATTTTATGACAAAGATATTGATTTGTCATTGATCTGGTATGTCGTCACAGACTTTCTGAGCCTACTATGTGTAGGTGCTGTGACTGGATGCCATTGGTTTTTCACCATTTTTATAGTCAAAAATTATAATAATTTTTTTTTTTTACATGGGGAGTTCACATAGAGTTTACGTAGTCTTGTGGTGTGTGCAAATATTCCATGTGTGCATGCATGATAATTGCTCTTACTGCTGTAGTGAGTCTGTAAGTGTGTGTTACAGAAGCAGTCTTAAGTAAACTCGTTTCACTTTAGAAATGCTAAATGAACAAATGTAGGGTGAATTCAGGTTAATTAGGGTGGTTTCCCAGTCCCGTTTTACCTGAATTCATCCTAAATGTGCATCTGAAGTAAACAAAAAATAAATAAAAATGACACCTGGAAAAATGTTTCCCACTTAGTCATGGCATCAGGATATTTGGTGGAGCAGTCTGTGAAGCTGGAGCAGTAATCCTGAGCCCCCTCTGCTGGAGCCTGGACGTGCAGCTGAATCTCACCCTTCCCAACTACACCTGTCTGAACTGCTGCCAGGAAGGGAAGCACAGACATGTAGTAGTTCATACCTAGAGAGAGTGAAAGTGCCAAAATGAGAAAAGACGGGACAGTTCACTTTTCATCCATCAAATACAGAGCTGCACTTACATGCATACCAGCTCTGAGGAGAGATGCAAACCGGCTCTGAACTTTCCAATCCACAAGTGCTGCTACTGCCAGGGCTTGGGTCAGTCAGCCGGCCTGAGATGGCATTTGAAACAGGTGACAACCAAAGCTCAATTTCCTTATGGATTTAAATATAGACTTCCTAAGTGCAAGTGCGTATGTATTTATATTTACATTCGTACAGCATGTATATGCAACGCAGCTTTTTCGCCCAATTATTTTTCGAGGTATTTTAATTATTCTCACACACGATGTAATGTTTTTTATACAGAGCCCCTAACTGTCCCCGAAACCTTTCAAAAATAAACCATTGTTTAATAGTGTTTATTAAGCTGTTGGGAGGTTCTCAATATACTGACATTTTTCAGGTTTCCAAAGTTGTGAGGCCATTTTTGTCCCAGCACACAGTATGTATTCTATTATTTATTGCAACCTATAGGCTTAGGATACCTTTCTTGCATTGCATATTTCTAACTTTATTTGTTGGTACTGCATTTAAGTCTCACAGTATCTTGCAGAATGGGGATGGGCTTTTTGGGGAGGAAGCTAACTAGTTTGGATAGGGACGTAAACGTATTTTCACTGCTACATACACACGTACTGTAGCTGTCTAGAAGTGTGTTCAGTCTGATTGCTTTGGAAATTACTTATCTCCAATCAAATTCGAAGCATGTCACACAACTGCCTACACACACCAGTATTCACATTATCACTGTTCCTGTGTTTAAATGTTTATAGTGTACAGTAAGATGCATGTTTAATGGGTTCTGCACGTTCTCAGGAGTAAACCATTCATCATAACTGGAACATTTGGCTAATTTGATTCTGATACAAAGCTAAATACATTGCTTGTTTCTTATTGTTACATCACAGAGGTAATAGATCATACCTGATCGGAGTTTCCAGCCCAGCTGCAGAGGAAGACTCCACAGAGGGCTCTCTTTCTCTCCAGGGCCCATGGAGCTCATGTAGGGATCGGTAGAATTGATCAGCAACTTGTACAAGGCCATTCTCTGTAAGTAGTCCCATGGGTTTACCTGAATCACCCCGTCGACTGTGGGCAGCTGGGAAAGCTCGATTGGGGCTTTGTCCCACTGAATAGGAAGACCATTCTCGGTCACTACTGCTGTCTGGCCGAGCACAGCTAACAAGACTACAGCAGCCACCGCGCTGATGAAACCCATGCTGGAGAATCGAGTTGGACTGCTGAAGTGCTGTGCTCAGTGGAAGAGC